TTAGCCAAAACATTTTTATATAACTATATATCATAATTAAATAAAAATTCTTCTTCCTAGCAAATCCCTATGCTGCCATTTCTTTAACTTTTATCAAAGAACACTAAAAGACGCTAGTCAACCTGTTTTAGATGAATTCATTCACCAGGTAATAAATCTGACAAGTATTGATTGAGCACATATTATGTGTACAACATATGCTAGGCCTGGGCTACACGATAAAGATGAAATTGTCTCTCCCCAAGCTTAGGCTCAAAGGACAAATACAGACACACAACCAGGTGTGCCCAAGGGAGTAGGTTAGGAATATGCAAGGAACAAGAGATTTAGCAGAAGAGATAAGATTTGTATTCATGTAATATTACTACAAGATAATATGAGACATATAGCCCAAATTAGCTAATGAATGCCATCAGAATTCAAAGGGGAAGACGCTCTTTTATAAGACAGAGGGATGTGATCAAGGATAACTTTATGGAAAAGGTGACCTTGAACGCTGAATGAAAGGTAGAATTTAGAAAAACGAAGACCTAGGAGTGGGCCAGAGATAGATGAAGACAATGGCATGAGTCAACATACAGAAGTGGCGACATGCATATTCATGTCTCAAGTAAGATAAGTAAATCCTGTTTTGACCAGGTTGTTTAAACAAAGGTGGAAGTAGATGAGTGAGAGATAAGGCTGAACAGGTATGGCAGCGCCAGACTGGAGAGGGCACTGGAAGCTAATTTATTTTGGGATTTCTAAAATTTCTGCTGACGATCGTAATTCATCATGATACATTTTAACTCAGTAAAAAGAAAATTTGTACTTAAAGATATCATACAACTTCAACTCATCATCCAGTCCCTTAAACGAATCCCCCACAAGCTTCTCCCCAATATACTTCATAATGTACTTATTTATACTTTAATTTTCTAGAATCTAGAAAAGTAGATATTCAGACTTGAACTTAGCATTAACTTTGGTGCCTTCTTTCCGCATGTTGCTGACATCTAGTAGATGCTGTTGGAAAACATAAATGTCAAGTGCAGATGATTATTGCTACCTAGGCAAGAGTCCAAACTGTCATACGAACAGGTCTTGACTCATCTCTTAAGTGATATTGTTATGATGGCCACTGGTTATTTTGCCAGAGCAGGAGATCAGGAACCTTTCTAATTCCTGAACAGAAAGATATATTACCAATATAAAAAATAGAATGTATGATCACAACTATTTTCCTTTCTTTAAATCATTGGTGGTTTTAGTCAGACATGTGAGCTGGGCTTAGCGCTGGGGACTGTTAGAACTGGAAGAGGCCTTCATCTGACTCTCCTTATTTTAGTGGAACAAAAAGAGGTCCAGAAGAGTGAAGTGACTTGCCTTAGGAGATGCAGCTAATTTCTTCTATGGCGAGGAGTAGAACACGCATCTCCTAGATGACAGTGTTTTTCTCACATCAAAAGTTACATCTTAGCTTTAACTTAACTTAAAAAATAGAGCATTAGTAACTTCTCATGGTGTCACTATGCAGCAGCATTTCTCAAGCTCAGCACTGCTGACACTGACCAGATAATTCTTTGCTGTGGCAGCTTCCTGTGCACTGCGATACGATTACCAGCATCCCTGATGTCTACCCGCTAGATGCCAGAATCACCACCCCCATCCCCTGGTCATGACAACCAAAAATGTCTCTAGACATTGTCAAATGTACCCTGGGGGGCCAAATCACCCCCTGCTGCGACACCCTACCCCCATCGCCTTCCATACCCCACCTACACCTCTAGAATAAATTCCTTCAGAGCCAGTCTGACCTAACCTAAGGGCCTCTTTCCAAGAATCTCATACCTCTACCCTGACAGCACAGGGCCTTCCCCAGGTGTTCTAGTTTCCCCTGTAGGTGTTTACTCCATTGTCGGAATCTAGTTTTTCTAGGTTAGCCATGGTCATAGGTCCTCTCCTCATCCACCCATTCATTATTTCAGCATGCATTTGAGTGCCTATTATACGCTAGATATTGAGCACTGGGAATGCAGAGCAAAGTCTCCGATCTGCAGTCGTTCAGCCTTCTGGGGGAGATGTATACATAAATGAACACCTGTCAGCCTTATGACGAGTGTTAGGGGAGTGGTGTGTGCAAGGTGCTGCCGATTCAGGGAATACACTTCATTCACACCGAGGGTGGTCATAGGGCGATGCACCACAGAGGCCAAAAGAAAGTGCCATCTAAACCGAATCTTCAAGGACGAATCAGAATGAGTGAGAGAGAAAGGGAAAGGCTCACCAGGTAGAGGGAGCAAGGAGGGAGAAAACCCGGCTTCTGGATATAGATCAACACAGGGTGTGAATTGACTCTGGAGAGGAAGCGGGGGTCGGGTCTTGGGGAGCCAATTATACCATGCCAAGGAGTTTGGAATTGACCTTGAAGGTAACTAGAAGGTAACTAGAAAGTGTGTCAAACTTGCATTTTAGAAAGATTGGAAGTACAGAAAATTACAAATACAGAGGATTTGAAATAAGAGCACAGGCCACCTCAAGACAAACACCGGATGTACTGTCTAGTAAAAGGACAATCGAGCCAGATTTCAGTCTTGCGGATCCTGTCATGGGAGGCATTCTTCTCCTAGGAAGGATGCCACAAACTGGCAAGAAGAGAAAAGACCCAGGACCATACAGAGGGACAGCCCCCTCCTCCACCCAGGAATGTGGGCAGATAAAACCTTTTACCATCAAGGCAAGAAGAACAACTTTTTCTTCTGGAATCTAGGAGAGGTTGAGTTCCTATGGAAATTCAAAATATATTTTTCCCAGAAAGAAAAATGGTAAATTTTGCTATTTTAAAATACATGGTTCAGGTAATTTATTGCATAGGTGTGTGTTGAGTGTATCTGTGCACTGGCTGTTGAACATATTGTTGTTTCTATGGGAATATGAATTACACATCGACTTTCAGAACACAACCCATCTGCCAGCTGTAAACCACGCATGCCTTTGCAGAGACTGTACAAGCACAAATGACAGTAGCGAAATGCTCCAGACAAGTCGTGATTAGAACTCTTCCATAGAGAAGGGAGTATGGGGCAATTTAAGAGCAATGCTGCCGACTACATAAAATGCAAATCGAAGTGAGCCCTATGCAGCTATTCAGGCCCTCCCAGGGCTAAGCTGCTCCAGTAGCTATCCTAGGGCCTGGAACATATCAGGTGCTCCATCAATGCTTGGAAAAGGGAATTAGATACACTGAAATGGTCTCCAAGCCCACATGCCTCCTGGTTAAAGGAGACTTGAAAAGAATGCTGGTTCCATGAGGCAATGAGACAGGGCATGCAAGAAAGCGAGCGACAGACAGCATGGATTTGCCCAGGACGGTGAAAGAGAGTGAGCTAGTAAGTCCCTACATCTGTGCTCAAGGGACAGAAACCCCTTCCTCTTAGGAGCAGAGCTGATGTAAACATGAGATGTCCTGATTAATTCACAATGTCAGTAGAGGAGAGCGACTTAACTTCGTGTTAGTTCCATGACCTGTTGCATTCTTTGTCTTAAGAGCTGATTTGCTGATGGTAGCTGAAACATGGAGGCCTCCTTCTTTCTGATTCATCCATTACCCAGAAAGCCCTAGCTTCCTAGAATTCTTCAAACTTTTCATCAAATCTAGCTGAATCTTCTTTCAGAGTGCCTCTATTTCACTGATGACCTGACCTATCTCTTGCCTTTCTGTGTCAACCTACCTCGATCTGTGAGGGAAAATTTATCTTCTTAAAAAAATGCATTGATTTAAGCCCCTTTCTCAAAAAACACTTTCACCGCCTTTCAGATACCTGGGGAATAAAGTCCAAACCATTAACCTGCCTTTAAGGCCCTGCAGAGTCCTCACCTGTAAATCCGCCCCGCCCCTACAATACCACTTCTGTATACAAGTAACAAATCCTTAGGGTTCTCTGAATAGGCTGTCCTCATTCCTCCCCCGTGCTTGGCTCATACCTCAGAAGCCTAAAATCCCTAATTCCTCCCTGTCTACTTTAAAAGCACACTTCTGGGGCTGGTCTCAGTGAAGCAGAAGTCTGACCTCATTTCAACCTCCGCTCCCACACTCCTCCCCATTTCTTGCATGGAATTATTCTATGCATCTCTGGTTTCCTTGTGAAGGGGGAGACTCTGTCCTGCACCACGTTGCTACCTATCCCCTAACCAATGGATGACAAATGGATGACCCTAAGCCCCTAGAAAGACGCGCCTGGCATACGTCAGGAGCTCAACAAATGTGTTAATTTTGAAGATATTCGAGATACTTGACTTTGTAAATTTGAGATTACCACCCACTTTCTCCCCTAAGTCGGGGACTTTCCTCCCCGCCAGGTGAGAAAAAAGCATCTAAGTAGTTTAACTTTGATAAAGTTAGCTTTGATATATAAAAAGCAAAGCGGAACTTCCTCTTTAACCTTTCAAGAAATGAGAACTCCCCAAACCCACTCTCCCACTCCGCCCTCACTAGTGAATTTTAGATTCCTTTAAAATCACCGCCCTGGGTCACTTCTTACAAAATAAAACTCTGCATCTTTGCAGTTGCAAAGGTAACCTTACCTCTCTCTAGCCAGCCAAGTCACCAACAAATTCCCCAAGCGAGAAAAAATGTTTTTAAAAATGGAGGTGTGAGCGTTAAAACATCTACAGGCAGGAAGGGTACATACAACAGGTGCTCCTGCAAACTCTAAACGCCCAAACGGACCTTCTGATCGAGCCAAAAGCTTTACAGCCAACACAATATGCTTTAGCTGTTGTTTCAGGGGCTTTTCGATAACAAAAACACTCCCTCCCCCTTGGCTTTGCCGTTTTTCGCCCACCACTTACTACAGAGTGCGTGTCTGACTTATCTGGGCAATCTCTGTCGCACCCAGTGAACTCGCTCAGCGACCCGCGCCAACACGTTTCCTTAAATCAGAGCCCAGTGGACTCTGCTCCGGAACTACATTACCCAGCGGCCCCCGCGCCCTTCGCAGGAAGGACGTCTGCGCACAAGATACTCAGTTCCAAGTTTGGAGCTTTTAGCTGCCAGCCCTGGCCCATCATGTAGCTGCAGCACAGCCTTCCCTAACGTTGCAACTGAGGGAAAAAATCACTTTCCAGTCTGTTTTGCAAGGTGTGCATTTCCATCTTGATTCCCTGAAAGTCCATCTGCTGCATCGATCAAGAGAAACTCCACTTGCATGAAGATTGCACGCCTGCAGCTTGCATCTTTGTTGCAAAACTAGCTACAGAAGAGAAGCAAGGCAAAGTCTTTTGTGCTCCCCTCCCCCATCAAAGGAAAGGGGAAAATGTCTCAGTCGAAAGGTAAGAAGAGCCTGTTTGCATTACTTGCAAAAAATGCAAAGGGTTGTGCATGCATTTATGAATGCATGGATGCAATTTTCGCCTAGCGATTGCATTTTTAAGTTTGAGGTTTTCCACAGCTCAGTTGCATTTCCTGTTTAGTATGTGTCTTTTTTTTGCAGACACAGAGAGTTCCTGTAAGGCAGGGCTTGCAGTTCAGCTGTGCATTGACGTTATTTGCATTCTTCTGCTAGGATTACTGAGCTCTTTCTGCCTTTTGCACAGTCAGGAGAGATAGAGCAGGTTGGTAGCGTCTAAATGTGTAATGCTTTATATAATTGTAAAATTCTTTAGTATGCACACATATTATAAGTAATCTTACGTGCAACAGAAATACAAACTTTTAAAAAGTGTGGATGAAGATGAAAGGTAAAACTTGAGTTAAACTAGTAGGAAATTATTGTAATCTTATATTCCTTTGGGAATGAGCTGTTGCTATGCCAGTATTTAGCTAAATTTCCATTGATAACGCTTTGAACATTAAGCAACTTCTGATATTTAAAGGAAGTAAAGGTGAAGTGTGAATAATAACATATTACAAAAAAAAAAAAGCAGAAAAGTCTTTCTCTTCCGAGATTTTGCACTTTACACTAATTGCTTATTGGCTCACAGTATTGAGAAGCAGCAATGAAGACACTGATGTTTTATAAGTCTTTCCATTTGGGAGATGCGTTGCATGGGGGGGTGGATATTGGGAGAAAAACTATACTTTTAAGCGCTATGCTAACATGGGGAGTTTGTTGTTTTATTAACAACCATAATTAAATATTTTAAATGTGTAATTGCATATATTTAGTCAGCTGGAATAGGTCAAAAGTTTAGGGTGATGCTTTTTATGTTTTTGTCCTTTTTCTTAATTTTTTTTTTTTTTAACACGGTGTGTTTTGCAGGTTTAATGTCATGTTGGGGAGGGGATTAAAAAATAAAATAAAATCCCTGACATGGCGTCAGAGAGCAGGGGTGCTGTCAGGTGCTCCAGGACCCTAAGTTACTTGTTTCAGAACAAATCCTTTACCAGAGAAAGCATATGGCATATGAGAATGTATGGACCGAAGAGGTGACTTAAGCACCATGTGAGTTAGGCTCCCTGAGGCAAGTGTGCACTATTATAAGTGTGAGGAGTAAGACCTGGTGAGATGAAAGTGTCTCGTAAGCTTTTGCCACTTTTTTTTAGAGTTGTTGAACCACTTTTTAATTCTACCGGGTGGGAATCAATCATACATCTCAGCCTGAGAAGAAAGTGATACGTATTCTCAAGAGTTCAAAGTAGAGATCTGCTTTTCTTTGCGTATTATGGGAGAGTGGATGTCTAAAAAGCTTAAGAGCGCTGAAGAAGCTAGGGATTAGCAATTGGAGGTATAGAGGTTCGTGAATATGGGGGAAACCTACAGTCTCCTAACTGAGGAGAGAAATAACTCAGAAGGGGCATTTTATGCTTTATATATTAAAGGGGTGGCATCTAGTTATTTTGGTATACGTTCACTCATTCATTTAGTTCAGTTTATGGATAAATATTGCGCTATATATGTGTATGTGTGTATGTATAAGTATGTATACACACGCACACTGCTCAGAGTTTGGGTGCATACAAAAATATTTAAAATGTAGCTTTTTTTTCCTTCAGGGAATTTACCATGTGGTCCGTGAAAGCATGTATTGCTGAAAGAAAGCAAGTCATTATAATACAAGATACTTGCATAGATAGAGAAGAGAAATGGCGAGGTTGGAGTTTACAGATAAAAGAGACCTTCTCTCTGGGAGATAGGAAGATTTCATGAGGGAAGTGGTGTTATAGTGATCTTATCTTTGGACCCTAGGGTCCAAACTAAATCAGGTTCCTGTTTGCATTTTTTAGGCATACTTCGAAGATAGCTCCCTCCTAGTAGAGCAAGTTTTTGAGGTAGGACGCTAAAAGAGATGTTAGCATGGTACCCTTGCATTATGGGTACGCCCATAATAGATCAGGTACTGGTGGTTCTTCAAATCAGTTCCCATTTATCCAAATAGTTTTCTTAATTGGGTCTTGCTTGGAAGGTATATGTGGTGTGGACATAGGTTCCTGTCTAAAGGGGAAAATTATTGATAGAAGTAGGTGATCATTTCAGAAATGGCAAAGGAGCCTTGGCCTGGACTTTAAATGTGGAATTGGCCTCATTTGGCTCCAGTATTCTCAAATGGCCAAGACGTTTTTTTGCAGCACCAAACTTCTTTGTAATACTGTAACCAAATGAAATGGGAGGAAAAGTGAAAGGTGGATACAACCTCATAGCATTGAAGAATTTAACAACATGTTCAATTCAAGGACCTTTACGAACTTTCTAGATCACTATAATTCGGTTTTACAGACCTCTAATTTAAGGCACAGCAGAGGCAAAAGAATTACAGACTCCCTGGGAGCTGGAAGGACTGGGTTACTTCTTTCCAGTCTTACCGACAGAGAGATTCCGAGAAAGAATTTCTTAAAAAGAAATTTTGTTTTCCACTGTTGTAACTTTAGGTGGTATGCTTTTCAGCTTGTTTATATTAGCTGTCTGGGGTTGAGCTGACATTTTTCAAATATTAAAGTGGTAGAATGCCTTTTGAGGAAATCTGAAATGTAAGTTAACAGGAAGGGCACCCAGAAAGTGCAGGAATTCCTGCACTTTACAGGAAGACAGGCTACAGGAAAAATGTGTCATCTACATTACCCTGGAGAGAAAAGCTATTGTTATCAGTCTTAATGATCGGGGGGAAGGGAGGGAGGAAGGGAGAGGAAGGAGGGAGGTCGTCTGGCATCTTCCAGTTCACCTGAAAATATACAAAAAGTTTGACCCTGTCGAAATGTACTCTTTCTCACTTCTCCCTTTATTCACCCTGTAAAAATATTAGTTTATGTTAGTTTAACATAGTAAATATTAGATATTCACCTATAAAAGTAATTTTAAAATAAAACATTCACCTTTCAAAAATATAGTAGTGGATCGGTCATGCCATGAGAAATGCGTGTCAGGAAGGCATAATGCAGAAGCGTGTAGGAGAGTGATAGGCGAGGACCCTACCACGGGGGTCTTTGCTTGAAATGCATTCCACCCGGGGAAATGAAATGTGTCCATTTCTCATTCTGTGCAAATTCCTTTGTTAGGTTGCACCAGACAGACTTGTCATGCTTAGCCCGTAATCTGAGCCAGTGTGTTTTATAACCTCGTACATCTCAGGACACAAAATCAGAATAGGTACCTTGGGTTTCCTGAGCTTGTTTGTGTTGGTGCAGCATTCAGCTGCATGTCCGCTGCAGGGGCTTTTGGGGGGTCTCTTGGTAGTAATTTAATACTGGAGGAAATGGTTGAGATTCTCATCCCTTTGTTTTTTGCAGATTGGTACTATTATAACTACTTTTCAGTATTTTAAAATCTGGAAGATCTATATGGACTATTTTTAAAACTTAGAAGAAAAATAGTATATAAAAATGCTTCATTATAGAAACATTTGAAAACATAGAAAAGGAAAATAGAAAATAAAAATCACTAGTTACTGCAGTGTACATTTAGCATATATTCTTTTGGAGTTTTTAAAGTTCTGTGTATGTATATATATGAATAAATCCCAAATGTGTATATAATTAATGGCTGTTTAGTTACCTTTTGTTTCACTTACTAATATACTGTGAAATATTTGGACATTCATAATATCCAATTCTATTGTATTTCTTTAAATAGAACCTAGTGTTTATTAACTTTTTAAATTAAGGAATAATTAACTTACAAAATTATATTACTTCCAGGGTGTACAGCATGATTCAATATTTGTATGTATTTGGAACTGATCACAAGTCTAGTTAATATTTATCACCATACATAGTTACAGAATTTTTTTCTTGTGATGAGAACTTTTAAGATTACTCTCTCAGCAACTTTCAAATATGCAGTACAGTATTGTTAACAATAATCACCATGCTGTACGGTCCATCCCCTTGACTGGAAGTTTTATAACTGAAAGTTTGTACCTTTTGACCACTTTCACCCATTTTGCTCCCGCCACCTCCCCCCACCCCATGGCGACTACCAATCTGTTCTGTGTATCTGTGAGCTTGCTTTTATCTTTTCAGATTCCACATAGAAGTGAGATCACATGGTGTTTGTCTTTCTCTGACTTCTTTTACTTAGCGTAATACCCTCAAGTTCCATTTCTGTTGTCACAAATGGCAAGATTTCATTCTTTTTAATGGCTGAAGAATAATCCATTATATATATTACATTTGTTTTAATCCATTCATTTGTCGATGGACACTTAGGTTGTTTCCATGTTTTGGCTATCATAAATAATACTGCAGTCGATATGGGGGTGCCGTTAACTTTCAATATGAGAGATATTGTCATGATGGTCATCCCAGTTCATACATTATTATGTATACTACGGCCTTAGACTAAAGTCCATGGATATCCAATTTTCCCCCACTCTCCATTTTCTTCTCTCCCTTTTAAAAATAGGTTTTTAAATTATTATAAAATGACATGCACTCACTGAAAATAAATTCGAACCAAAGAGAAATCCATAATAAGAAAATAATCACTCCAAGTCATACTACCCAGAGCTAATTATTATTAACTTTTTTGGTGACTATCTCTTTGCATTTGTACATACATACATATAAACATACGTATATGTGCTGTTTTATACACTGTAGATGACATTTTGCACCTTTATATTCTAACATGTATCTTGGATATCTTTCCATGTTAGTACACATGTATTCTTTTTAACAATTGCTTATTTTAATTGGTAAGAATGTAGCCATTTAATCAATCTCCCATTGGACTTTCACATAGTTTCAATTTCTTTTTTACATCTATAAATGAAACTTCAAGGAATACTTTGAACACATATCTTTGCACATTTGCCCTATTATCTCTTTAAGATGAATTCCTAGAAGAGGAAGTGCTAGGTCAGAGGGCATGGGATATATTGCCAAATTGCCCTTCAGA